CGGCATCTTCCCACATCGTCCCGCAGCTCCCCGCATCGCCCCGCACCTCCCTGCACCTCTCCTGCGCCCTGCGGCCCCTGCACCGCTCGGCGCCTCTCCTCCTCGTCCCGCACCTCCCTGCATCGCCCCGCACCTCCCCGCCCTCCCGGGCGCCCCGCACCGCCCGCGGGGCCGGGAGATCGCGCCCTGAGTCCGCTGGCCCCTCTGGGGCTCCCTGCGGGGCCTGACGGACATGCCGTGATCCCCGAGGCTACGAGGCTACGATGACGCCAACTTGGCACCAGTGCCCCTTCTACGGATTCCCGGACACGGGAGGGGGGACCGGTGTCCGCGCGCCCCGCGTGTGCGGCCCTGCGGAAGCCTCCCGAGCCTTGGGTCTTTATGGGGGAAACCGGGGAACTCTCCTGGGAACAATGCGTGTCCCCCCGCCCCCCCACGCTGCCATTCCGCTCCTTTCCTTTCTTCCTCCATTCTTCTAAGAGCATTTTCTCCCCTTTATCATAAAATGCCATAAAAGTTTTTAAAAAATCGTTGTAATTCACTTTCATGATGAAATTTATTCAAGTTTGAAAGCTTGGAGGACAAACGATTCCCTTTCCAGTGTTCTCAGGGTTATTGTCTCACCCAGACTTTTGCGTTTCCGGCTTAAGAGGCAGTGATTTCAGATGTTTGGAAATAGCGGAATGGTGCAGTTTGGGAAGAGACGTGGTGTTGTCGCCTGTCGCTGTTCGGTAGCCCACGGGGACCTTTCCTGCTCGTTTCCATTTGGATTTAAGCTGTCGGGGTGAGGATCGGGGTGCTCCGTAAGCGTGGGAAAACCGAGTGAGATTAATTGGTAATTAATTGTTCTCAGGCACGATTAAGTAAGCAGCAGTGTAATTAAAAATGTGCGGGCACCTTGGGCAGCGAAGGCTGTAAGGGACGAACACATTTGTGGATGCTGGTAAGTCTTAACTAATCATAATGATGATGGGGATGGTGGGATAGCATGTGGAAGCCTGAAGATAACCTTTTAAAAATACATCAGCTTAAAAAAATACCACCACTAATTTTTTCATACTTCCCAGAATCACATAGACAACAGCTAAATGTTAGCAATGACTGCTAGCTGCACAGGTTGGCTTGCTGCCTGGAAGTTTTGCACCTACCCCAACCGGGTGGGTGGCAGCTGAAATCGGGATCCTATTTATAGCTCTGCACTTTACAATGCTGTCCTGGGGACATGACGTTTGTACATACTATGGTCAACGTATGGGCCCAGAGGCACGTTTGTATTGCTGGGTGCATCTACTTTTTACTGCCCTCGAGGGAATATCTACACTGTCCAAGCTCTGTAATACACGAAAGGACACTCAGAATGAACTGAAATGTCAACACATTTTTAGAGATGTCTCTCAGCATTGCGAAGTTAGAAAAGCACAATAAATGAGATGAGAAACGTAGGAAAAGTCCCCTGAGACACGTGACTTTGCGAAGTGGCTTTCAGGGGTTGGAACGGGCAGGAAGCTGCATTCTTCCAGGTCTGAAATAAATCATGAGTTCATTTCATTGAACTCTGCTTTGATGTTGGTGGTGGGGGGGAGCGGTGCACCAGGATGTAAATCGATGTGGTACCCGCTCTATAAATCTGGAAATCGAGATTCTCGGAATCCAGCCGAACCAGAGGGTTTGAAAGGAGGTCTGAGGCGTGTGAGCACGCCCGGCGGTTTAAAAATACGTGCAACATTCCCTTATCAGGTCGGTCGGCCTGACGGTAGATGTTTTACTTTCCCTAGACACCGTAGCATATTCATTAAGAGAAAAGTCAATATGGAAAGTTTATTTTAGACCCATATGATTATACAGACAACATTCTCTGCAGTTCTAAAGTCCGGTGCCAGTTCTAGAATCAGAAGGTTTACCCGCGCCCATCGGTCAGCCACCGCGTGCTTCCCCTGCCCTCCTCTTTCTCATGTGGAGTGAGGGGCACAGACTGGATGAAGTGCTGGAACTGAGCCACTGCTGTTGCCGCAGAGACCGCCACCTGCCCACCGTAACCCTTAGCGCCAACGCTTCCTGACCGAAAAACCTCTTAGATGCTCAGGACTGCTGTGGGCTGAAAGCCACAGGCCGAAGCCCTAACCCCAATGAGACCACGTTTGGAGGCGGGGACTTCAAGGAAGCGATTGAGGTCAAATGAGGTCCTGAGGGTAGGGCCTTAATCCATCAGGACTTTGTCCTCATAAGAAGAGGGAGGGACCCCAGGGAGGCATGCCAACAGACGCAAGACCCCACGGGCACAGAGAGAAGACCAGAGCGAGGTCGCAGCAGAAACCCACCCTGCCGCCATCTGCATCTTGGATTTCCAGCCTCCGGAGCTGTGAGAAGCACATTTCTGCTCGTTTAAGCCCCAGCTCTGTGGTCTGTTGAGGCAGCATTGGCGGACTGATGGTAGAGGGGTGTGGGGGGTGGAGGACTGGGGGTGGGGGCAGCCGTATGTCCAGTGAGTGGCTCTCAGTGACCCTTGCAAAGAGGGTCGTGGGTGAGCTCTGTGCGGGTTTTGGCTGGGTCTCGGTAAAGCTCTGCAAGCTGGCTGACCTGCATTTAAACAAAAACGTGTTATCGTAGTTTATATATACATAGATACATAAAATGTTATCATAGTTTATATATACATATATACATAAAATTTGTCGTTTTAATCATTTTAAGTGTATTGGTCTGTGGCATTAAGTCCCCAGATTTT